TGCAGCGGCGTCAGCCCGTCCTGCAAGAGCCAGGCCAGGCCTCAGTTCCCGTCCTTGTAAAGCGAGCTGCACCGCGGAGAGCACGGTGCCTGGACTCGGTCCTGGCGGCTCCGCAGGTGGGTAAGAGGTCAGCGAACCGCCTTAGCTTAGCCAGACGCAGGTCTCCTGCTTCTAGGGAGGGAGGCCGTGCGGAGACAGCCTCCTACTCCCCTCCCCTGCCTGTTTGCTGACAGTGAACTGCACTCACTTAACAAGGCGGGCACAGACAGAGAAAGGGCACTCCCTCTCCCTGACGACCAAGTCGGGGCACGGAGAGCGGCTGTCTTCTCCACAAGCACAGAGAGCGCCTGCCAGGGCGGCTCAGCACCACCTGACGGGAAATGACTGAGGACCCGCAGCCTTAGACGCAAAAGCCATGCAACCTGCACGATGCCCGAAGAGCCACTCTCCCGGCTCCATCTCCCACCCAAACGAGATGAGTGGGTCCGACCGCGACCTTCGTTCCCAGAAAACTCCTGAGCAGGGACTGGGGGCGCCTCCTTGGGGTGGGGCTCTGCTTTCTGGGTACTTAGGAGAAACAGGAATTCCATGTTGCCATGGGAACCTGTAAACATTGTCTGAGGCTTAAATAAAAGCCCAGAAAGCCACGTCCCGGAAAACCCGCGTTGTCGCGTGTCCAGGGCCCGGCACGTTGGGGTGAACGCTGGACAACACAGAACCTCGCGGTGGCAGGAGGCAAAAGGCAGGCACTCACCCTGGTTTTGGCGTCGATCTGACCTCCGCGGTCCAGCAGGAGCTTCACCATGTTTGTGTTTCCCCGTTTGGAGGCCACGTGCAGAGGGGTGATCCCGTTCTACAGGGAGAGAGGTGGAGCACGCGGTGTGGGCGCGGGAGTATGTGAATGTGGGAGCGGGGAGCACGTGGGTGTGGGCACGGGGAGAACGTGGGTGTGGGTGTGGGGAACACGTAGGTGTGGGTGCGGGGAACACGTGGGTGTGGGCACGGGGACCACGTGGGTTTGGGCACGGGGAGCACGTGGGTTTGGGCACGGGGAGCATGCGGTGTGGGTGCGGGGAGAACGTGGGTGTGGGTGTGGGCACGGGGACCACGTGGGTGTGGGCACGGGAGCACCTGTCACAGGGCGTGGGGAGGCGGCCTGAGGAGAACCTGACCCAAAGCTGCTACATCTCAGCAGCTTCCATTTTTAAGGAACAAAAGCACCCAAACCACAGAACACCACAGCAAGAGAATGAAATGGAATAGGGCTGCGTCACTGAGTCGCCAGCCACACATCTGCACAGAAGGGCCCCGGACTGTCTATGAAACAGACACGACGTCAGGTTCTACCTGGGACCGAGCCGGAGTCCAAGCCCGTCCTCTCTCCAGCCTCCACCACCCACCGAGCCTGGGTCGGAGGGTTTCCTGTGCTCACGTTAGAGCCCGAGCAGCTGAAGGCGGTTCTCAACACCTCCCGGATGATCCCTCAGAAAGCAACACCCTCTCTGGGCAGGAGACATCCGAGGACAAACCACCACAGATGGGACCTGTTATTTCACTGGCGAACACATGCCATCACTGGGCAAGGATCTGGACTTGGCTCTTGGTATGGCATAATTCTGCAGGTGTTCTAACTGCATTTGGTTATTCATATTACATGTGTGTGTTACATGCCGTTAAGTCGGCTCCGACTCCTGGGGACCTGTGAATGGTGCCGTCCAGTGTCCATCCTCACCGCCCTGCACAGCCTGCGGCTCTTGCGTGAGCCCCTCCACCTCCTGTTTGGGCTCCTCTTCTCCTGCTGCCTCTGTTCCCAGCATCGTTGTCTTTTCCAAAGCCCCGCCTCCTCACGAGGTGTCCGGGGTAGGACAGCGTCCGTGTGTCACCTGCCCCAGCCGTGCTCAGGCTGACTCGCCTTTCTCGCGCTCCAGGGCCTCCGCGGAGCCCTCCTCCAGCCCCAGGTTAAACGAACCAGCTTCCCCATCAGCCTCTCCACCATCTGACCTCCCACCTTGGTCTCGGCCTTGGTCGCTGTGGCCCGTCTGGGCTCCCGGTGACCTTTCCTGAGTGTCCCCGGCTGTCCTTCCGGCCTCGGCCCCTCCTGACTCGCTGGCTGCTGCCTGCACTCGCCCTGAGGACTGAGCCGAGGTCAGCGAGCGCCTCGTGTCTCCGTCGTCCGCGCTGAAGCTGTGCGTTCCTCCTGCTCTCGTGACTCCCGTCTTCCTGTTGGTCAGGCGTCCGGCTTGGCCACTTTCCTCCTCCACTTTCAGAAGCTGTTTCGCATCGTGGCTCCTTCGGCCTCAGAGGGTGTCGCCTGCAGAGCTTCAGTCACTCTCTCGTCCGCCAAAACCCACTCCTCCCCCGAGTCTGCGTTTTCCGTGTGGCACGCGTGCTCCGTGCGCAGGCTGAACCGAGTCTGAAGCCCTCGCCGACAGGAACCCGTCCTGCGTCTGTGGCATGTGCTGACCGTGGCCCCTGCTCGCAGGGCAGCCGACGCGATAGGACCGTCAGTGCTGGGCGCCCTGCCTGCAGAGCGGCTGCCGCTTCCCATGGACACCCTCCTCGCAGCGCCCAGCATCCGGGAACGCGGGCCGCCAGGTCCGAGTGCCTCTCTTTTCCGAATCCCCTGGCACCGCCAGCTCCTCCCGCTCCGTGTGAGCCTCCCTCCGCCCGCGGGGGGAATTGGGGCGACAGTCCTGCGGTCGTGCACCCCTTGGGGTTCCGTTCCCGAAGGCTGGGACGTGTACTGAACCTTGCTAACCCGCAGGCTCTTGGGTTTTCCCCATATTTGTGGACATGTTCTTGTGAGGATTCTGACAGGCTTATTCTCTGTGGCTTAAATCGTTCTATCTGTACCCACCTGCCCCGGGGTTCCTTCTCCCCAGTGCGTCCAGGGCAGCCCTCACCAGGCGTTCTAGAACTCCAGGCTCCTTCCCGGAGGCTTCTCCTTCAAAGGCCTCCGTTCCACCCCTGCCTTCTGCACAGACGTCCGCCGACTGTCCCCACCTGCCTTCTCCTCCTGGTCGGTCTCCTCCTCCGCCTTCACCAGTCACACTCCTCGTCTAGGTCTGAGCTGCCCTCTGTCCCCTGAGCTTCCGGGGGGGCCTCCTGGGTTCCCTTGTCTGTGCTCCTCCGCCTCCTCACACGGACACAGACCAGGACACAGAAGCAGGAACCGCCTGGAACCTCAGAGGGAAGGCGGGGGAGGGGGAGTGTCTGCATCGCCCATGGACATAGACATAGTGGGTGGAGGCCTGGGGTGGGGGGCGGGGCGGGCTGGAAGGGGTCCATGGGGGAGAAAGGGGACACGTGTAATACTTCGAACAACGGAGATCTGTAAGAAGGAACAGTTCTCTCGATCTCTACGTGGTCGTCACCGAACTGCTCCGGGGACTCTGAGCCTGGTCTTGTCGCCTTGAACACGTGTCCCTCGCCGGCCGCTGACAACGGGCAGGGTTTCTTCTGTCCCCCATCTCGAGCGTTCCTTCCTCTTGACCCCCCGAATCGTCTTCCCAGCATCCTCCCTGCTGAGGTCGCGAGTTTCAGGCCCTGGCTCTGCTTCTCCCTCAGGTGTTTGCCCTGCACACCTGCTGTTTCTGTGCCGCACACCCGCCAGGAAGGCTGCTCGCCTGACGCGTGGCACCCGATTCCCAGCCTCTCGTGGGCGATGTGGGCGACTCATGGGCAGCACCCCACCTGCCCCCGGCTGTGCACAGAGGGAACAGGCCTCTCTCCACCCCCCT